ACTCCTTTACATAGCGGCGGTAGGCGCGTGGAACACCGATCCACACTGCGTGAAAGGGGGGGGGTGCAAAGGTGCGTTATTCCCTAAGCACCGTCGGTAAATATATATTGTAAAAAAGCGTATGCATATAATACAAAAGATTATCAAGTATATTATAAACTTTCTAATGCATAACCTAATTTTACAGTAGCTTTAATATGAAGGTGTGTTTATGCAAACCGAATAAGTTATTTCAGAGCCGGGCAAACTCGGCTCTTTTGACTCCCGAGTGCTCCTCAAGTATAACCAAGTAGCTACTCATTGATCCTGCGAGTGCAAGTGAGATGATTCTTTCCTTTTATTATCCCTTCCATTTCGTAGGTGAGTCCCCTCTTCCATAGTCAAACTCACTAGTATTGCGAACGTAGTAACGAAAATTTTCGTAGATATTATTTAAGTTGCGAGAGTGGCTTCGCTCGTCTACGGGATGAAGGGGCTTGATATGGGAGTGGAAGGGAGAAGAAAAAGAGAAAGCAATATTATTCATTACTGCTTGCTCTCTCGTACTCACTGAAGGGTATGGAGTGAGTCAAACTAAACTCATGTAGCGGCTCCTACGAAGTTAAAGTTAGCCCGGCTCTGAGTTATTTGATCTTGTGTAAATATTTTCGGACTAGGTTTGATAACCACAGGTGCATTTCTTTTAACATTTATCGACAATGCTAGGGAACGTGAGCACCAAGATATTCCTTTACGCTCCGAACCGTGTTGATCCCATTACGCGGAGCGTAAATTTGTAATCTCGTAAATTTGTAACATATTTCGCCTATTTTTTATTGACTTCGTTCTCCTATTCTTTCCAATACCTCTTCATGAATATCAAATATAAATAAACTACTCGTTGATAGTTTCAGTAGTAAATGGTACCAATAGTAGCACATTTGAGCAATGCAATTGTAGTGGATAAAATGGTCAATTTTTCCGAGCAGTACTGTACGGATTATACGCCCCTCACCGATTAAGAGTTTGGCCGAGAGTTGTCTCCTTCCTTTTCTGGCCTAGTGTTGTTCTTTTCTACTTTGCGCCGGTCAAACTGAAGGTCACATCGCTACAGAAAGTAAACGTATTTACAGCACGGTTATTAGCAGCGATACTGTTGATATTACTACTTTGTGGAGCAATACCGATAACATCAGTGGTCCTTATCGATAGTTATACATCACTATTCATCACCTTTATGACACAATCCACTCACCTACTGCAGCAACAATTTCATATCAAGAATTTGTTGCTTTAGATTCGCATGAATTAGGAGAGAAATAAAAGAGAAAATTATAATATATATGTATATGTTTATTTACTGTATAGTACTTAAACAATTACAGTCGTTGCTTATACCTAACCTAATATTAAATTTAAACTTTTTGTTAATAAATTAGATAAAAATTCTATTATTAGGAATGCCGAAGGCCCATTAGACACTAATGCGATTTTGATAATAAAAATTCAATTTACATATTTTACAAACTGTTTCTTACAAACTGTCGTTCCACATTCCATTGAGCGGCCAGAACGAAGATTTAACAGCTACACATTCCTCCGCACAGTAATCATTACACCAAAAAGTGGCGGCGCTGACATTAATCTAATCAAGAAACTCACATTTTCTGAGACTAATAATAAAACTTAACACACACACACACACATACACTTTAATTGTACGTACTTAATAGTAAAACTTCTACCCACCGTCCATATACTATAGTTATGCCCATGCACTTTCAAAACTTTTTAATAGAAACACGTATTTGCGATCTAAGGTCGTGTTTGTTATACATTAACGAGCGGTGTTCAACATGTGGCGCCGACGTTGACGTTGAAATGCTACCGTGTAAATAAATAAATTTCGTTCGTGTACGTAAAGCGTAATCGTTACCTACGTACACACACACACACACGTACAAGAATGGATGTAGTCGTACAAATACAATGAATAACTAACCGTGCCATCGGTAAAATCACTATCGCTTCTTGTTGTATATACTACAATTCTCTAGAGATTGCACTAACTAATTGTTAGGGCTGCCATCTGTAAAATTGTCAATTTTTTTATAATTTTTTTTATTATCTTGTTATGTCATTATTTTTCACGTGCAACTACAGCAGAATTCGCGGTAACTTTTTACATTAGTTGACATTCGAATTGAGACATGAAATTAAGTCAGGTAAGTAGTACTCACCAAGTAGAATCGTGTGGTAGTATTAATTTCATGCGAAAACCAATGTAGCTTGAGATACAGGCTCCTAAAGTTTTCTTAATCGGAGGAAATTCCGGTTGGTACGGCCCTGACTGTAGCCCTTCGTCAGCTGTTCTCACCAAATATGCATTGATGACGTCATTGTTTAGTTAGGTACATTTGACTCGAGTTTCTTTAATGCCCCTGCTGCTGATATATTGGAATAATGTTACGAGGATATCTTTTAGGACAAACGATGTTTGGCGGGAACAGCTGAAGCCAGGGAAGATAAGTTAATTCATACGCTAGTGTAACGCAATGGTAGTGATAAGGGCAACTGGGGGTGTAGTCCTTTAAATACCATTATTTTCATGTATGTCGAAGCCCAACTAGGCGAAGAATTTCAAAATAAATCCCGGAAAAAGTAAAAAAATTAGTAGAAAATCGAAGAAGAAGCGAGCAGAGCGACAGGGCTTTTTGCAACTGGTAAAAATCTGTTTTCCTTTGGTGAACGTGAACGGAACTGAATTGGAACTGAGTACAAGGGAGAAACAATATGGTGAAATAAAAAAAAATGAAAAATAACCAAAATACACATTTAATAATAGAAACTTCATATAATGTGTGAGCAAAATATTGCTATTCTTCCCCAGTAGTATTATCCGGAGGTATGCTTTATTGGTGAATGATATGATGATATGAATAGACTAACAATAAGTGAACATCTCTGGTAGCGACACTTCGTGGATGTCTCAACTTCAAGGTGTCGGCAGCATCTGTCAAATGCTTACGAATTTTGATCAATATTTCTAACTTTATTCTTTGATATGTCAAGTAAAATGAGTAATAATTCGAAAAAAAAAAAAACACAGTGGGTCCTATTGACGTAGGGCTAAAGGTTTTCACCTGAATTTTTATAGCATTCCAAATAAGACATAGACAATTAATTTTACTTAAAATTTCGGTTGGAATCATCATTTAGTCGATAAAGAAGAGTGTGTGCTAAATATTTGAAACCAGAGAGTGGCCCTTTTCACAACTCTAACCGTTCTTATGATGAAAATCTCATAACGATGGCGTTTTTCTCTTACTTCCATCATCACGAAAACTCATTAAGATTTTCGGCTTTTAGAACTATATTGTTCTAGAAAAATGCTGAGGTTTGTTTCTTTGAAATGAGTTTAAAGGATCAAACCTGGTTTTTGATTGAAGTTTTAAAGGGTTGGCAAGAAAGCACGACATTGAAAAATCAATTTTAACAGAATCGTTTAATGGTCAACAGCGTAAGGTATTCCTGCTTTCTAATTTTCGAAAATGCACGAATCTACCGGCGGTGGCGCGGTTCTTACGAAAACTTCATGCTTAAGGAGTACCTAGTCATAAATGGTTCCGTTATACCTGTGCTCTGCATAAGCTGCAGAAGTAATTTTTGTACATATCTATAAATATTAATAAACACTGCATTCACACACAATCAATATGACCCGTACGGTTTCTATGATGTAAGAATGAAGCAATCCGATCAATACTAACTGAAGTTAGTAACAGTGAAGATTAAACTCGTCTTTTAAATTATAGAAAAGTAGGCATTTAACTTTTTAAAAGAACTAACGGAAAGTGCATTTATAAGTCATTGAATTTTAAATGTAAATGTTAAATGACAGTTGTCAAAATATAGCATTTCTAAATGTGGACATTCGTTTTCACTGAATCGAAGTAGAGTAAACGTAAATCATAACTAGCTTGATATGCTTGTATCCTTTATCAGCTTATACGTATATAAGGCAGCATGAAAGAGAATACGTGCCGTAGGTCGATATATAATTGTTCTATAGCAGGGATCGGCAAGTAATTTTAGGTTGAGTCCATATACTTTCGAAAATTTTTAGCGAAAGGTCCAGAAAAAAAAACATTCCCAATTTTTTAATTAAATTTTCAGTCACAAAATGTGAAATGCAATAGGTAGGCATATTTTTTAATAATTTATTTGAGTAATTTAAATCTACAAAAAATTTTTGGCGGTTCAGTCTTTGATCTTTCGCGGTCCGGACCTGGACCACGGTCTATAGTTTATGAGAAATTCCTTGCGATTGAACAATTATATGATGCAGCCAAGATAAAACAAAAAAGGGAATTAATCTCTAAAGTTGCTAGAGATAAATTTGTTGGACCAGGTAAAAGAAAAAGCATTAAAATGCCCGGTTTTCTCAGAATGGAAAAAAAATGTATTAAGCGGTTTTTTTGATCAAAATAAAATTTTATTATGATAAATCGATATACGGTTAGCAGGTTCTCAGATGATCTAAAGCTCTAAACTTACGATTAATTAAAATTAATCGATTTTAATATACATATACCTATCTATTTATGCTTATGATCTTAACTAGTAAGTATGTTAATTATTTATATGCTACATTCAAAATGAATCGACAATAAAATAATACATTTATTGCTAAAAACATTGCATCCGAACTTTTGTTTTGCATATTTTTGTACGACTCTATAGAGTAATAATTAAAAATATTTTAAATTGTAATTTCTTAAATTAAATTTTCTGCAAGTTGTCAAGTCAATGAAAAACAGTTAGAACTTGCTTTAAATGGTTTCGTCGTACACGTGAAAAAATGTAAGTTAAGGTTTAGTTGGTGACGAGAAATGCAAATATATAACGTAATTCATGCTAGTGTTTTCTATGTATTTACACTGGTTAGTATTTGCTTTACTGCGACAGAAGCCCTACTTTCACACACATTTTAAATTACATTAAAACAAAGTGCTTGTTACCTTGATTCTGGCGATGTACAACTACAGCGTTGTTAATGAATTCTTCGAACTTTGGGGAAATGTCACCTGCAAGAGAAAAAACATACTTAATAAAACTACTCTTTTATAAATGACTGTAAACAGCGCAGTGAACACTATCTGTAGTAAATTGCTAGTGGTAGTGTTGCAACAGATCTCTGCTTCCGCTTCCGCAATTACGGAAGTTCCGCATACAATTTCACCTCCACTTCTGCATCTGGTTCCGCATTTTCATAATGGAAGCTTATCAGAACTTAACAAAATCTTATTTCTCATCTTTTTGAATATCAATATATCAGAACATTAAAACAAGTCGTAAAAATTTATTACTATTATCTGTTGGCTAAACTTGGCCGTTTTCAAAACAATTTAAATTGAATTGCTCGTTCCAAATCTGCATGTTTAACAATGTGAAGTATTACTATTATCAACCGTTTATGTTTTTGAAGTATTAGCGTCAATGCAGCGTTATAGCCGACAAAATTTTCTTAATATTAATAGTGTCCTTGTGCAAGTAACTTTATTATAGTTTAAGGCCTAAATTTATTTCCTAGTATTTCGTAAGTTGATATTTTTCTAATGTTATTCTCTTGTTATTTTCTTACTTTAATCTAAAATCGTCCAAGATTTTCAGCTCCCCCTTCGCTAGTTCTAATAGTTTCATTTCGAAAATAATATTACAGTTATAGCGTTTATTTATTTTGTACATTGTTTCCTCAGTGTTGCAAATTTTAAGTTAAAAGTGCAATTTTGAAGCCAAAAAGAAGTTCCGTTTGAGATTATTTTGTTGATATTAAAGATGCAAGTGCTAAATGTAAAATTTGTAACAAAATATTCACGACAAGGGCGCACGACCACTGCATTAACGGATCACCTAAAATCATTACATTTCCGCTTCCGCATCTGTTTCCGCTTCCGCAAAAATTTACTATTTACTTCTGTTTCAGCTTTTGTTTCCATAAATTTAAGGTCCATAAGGATATAGAACTGAACCTATGACTTAGCTATCCTATGTGGTAGATATGTGGTTAAACAGGACAAACAATTCATAATGGTCACATGCATGTCGAAATTAAAACAGTCAAATTAGATCTCGTTAGCGGTAGACATTTCTGATAGAATTACTTACAAACAGCGTGCTGAATGCCAACTGTAGAAAATTTCATGAAACATTATCTAAAGGCAACAGCAAGAGTTGGTCTGAATTCTGTTGAAAGTTTACGACCTAGTAATGAGATTCAATGAGATCTAAATCGCCATTCGCACCCGCGCCATTACTTTTTGTTTGTACTTCTTTAAAATAAATCAAAACATCCAATAAAATGTAATCGTATCTGCTATTTTAAAATTTCCTATGTTGCTGGTTAAACTTTATGTTCTGACTTTACTTAACAAGAGACGAAGTGGTTTTATTTCTTGTTTTGTAAATTTCTTGCTGCCTTGGTTCGTCTTACTAACTAGAGCTTTAGTTTATCTGTTCTAGTTGGCTTGGGGAGTGCTCAAGCCTGATTTGTTTCAATTCGTGGAAGTAGGATTTTGTAGGTTATGGTGAGGATGACAAAACGAGTGTAGCAAAACCTGTCGTGGCTGCAAACAATTTTTACCGTTTTTGCCTGATAATGTCCTTTTTAACGTTGTTGAAATTCGATATTAATTTTGCCGGGTATCGGATAATCGGGTACCCGACAAAACCGCTACGGTTAATGGTTCACGTCTTCTTTCTGGCGAGCTTTCTGTTAAATACCACCCTAATCAACGTCTCAAACTAATCATTAAGTCCCGTTCAAAAAGTCGTTTAAGCACCAATGAAATTTTAATTCTTGGATGGCGGATTTTCAACCACACGGTTGAGTTGAAACAGCTAAAATGAGCCTATAATGTTTGTAAACAATAAAAGTCTGTAGGGTGACAAAATGGTCGCTAATATATCAACAAGCAACAGAAATTGCGGTAATTGTCCAGAATTGGGGTTCCAGAAAAAAATTTTTTATCGATTTCCGGTCATTCTAAATAATAGANTCATATACGACACAAACTTTTCTATCCGGGAATAGTATTTTTTTCTGGATAAAATGTACCCTATGTCCTTTTTTGTACCCCTGACAAAGTGCTTACAAAATTTCATGACGATCGGTTGAGTAGTTAAGGCGTGAAAACGTAGCAAACAAACAAACTCACATTCGCTTTTATAATATCAGTTAAGATACATAGTAAAGGAGAGGAAGATGACAGTAACGACTAACTTTGGTCCCAAACATCATAGTAGTAGTCAGAAATGACGTATGACATTAGAAACAAATTGCAATTGCTTAGTCTTGGTAAAAAAGACAGAGACTAACAGCATAAAAGCCGTCACCTTTTTCTGTTTCATCCCAAGGAACATACGACGAAATTGACTAGCGAAAGTTAACTTAATATTGTCAGTAATGAGTTCTCAGTGGAAGAATTAATTTAGAATTTTAGACAAAGCACATCATTATAATTAACGAAAAAGTTCCGATCAGTATCACACATTCATGGACATCGACACGTATTACAGACAGCGGACGCATTTTAATTCTAATACTCGGGAGTATCGACGGACTTTTAAAATGAGGAGAGCGTCGTCTGCATGAAACTGCTTTCTACCGTATGATTACGTGTATTATATATTTTTCCCTTCCGTTCCGTTCCGTCCGTCCGATTCTAATATGTGCGCCAGCCTTTATTCCCGGAGTCACGGCGGATTTTTAAAATGCCGAGTGCGCCGTCCATACGAACATACTTTCCACCACACGATTACATGTATTTTATATTTTTCCTTTCCGTTCTGTCCGTCCGATTCTAATATATGTGCCGGCCTTAATTGTCGGAGTAGCGGTGGACTATTAAAATATCGATAGTGCCGTCCGGCTATTTCCGATGTATGTGCACAAGCCATTACAGCCCCACAAATGACTTATTTGATGAAGAATGCACTCAATATACGAATTTATTACTCTGCTCGAGTTTGGAATACCTATCAGGGACTGTTACTTAAAAGGCAGTTAAAATATCCATCAGCTTCGTCGTTAAACAACATCTATGTAAAGGTTTTTGATTAAAGTAAAGAAAATTACACAAAACATGTCCTTCTAGTGGCTGTTATTTTTAATAAGTACTTTCAGTTATCCCGATCGCCTCTGTTTATAGCGTTTAAGCATAAAAAAGTTAGCAAACCTTACTTATGGACACCTGCCTATTAAGAAAACAACTGTTGAATTTTTTAAATTCTGGGATATGCATATATCAGTGTTTTGTATTGGTATTAAGACTTTTATGGTGTATACCGACACCTGAAATGTTCAGGAATTTATTCGAATCTAACCTAACTAGTTGTTCAGCTTGTCTTCATAAGGAATCATTTAAGCAAAGTATCACAAATTTAAGATTCAGAATGGTTATTGGTCACACACATATACAGAAACCGGATTTGTTCTTACAGAGAAATGTCCAGATTAGACCAGAAATTTAAAATACATTAAGGAAAAAAAATGATTACATTTGATTTAGAATTTTAGCTTGGAGATATCCATGCCGATGGAGATATATGGAATTTATACTTATTTTAATGTAAAAATTATAATTGCTGTTGTATATTTTTCTGCTGATAATTAATCGATTACCAGATATCATTTTTTTATATATGTTCAAATGTCATATTCAATTTTCATTTCTCAGAAGGTATACATTATTTTGACGAATCCTGTGGCAATATTTTCTTGAAAACGCTGTAATAGTTGTAATGAAAATTAAATGTTACATGTATGTTAGACAGATTTGAAAACAGTTTTTATGTTCACTAAACATTATGAAAGTAATTTACGTATTTGTATTGATTTTTAAAATTAAGGATAAAAATATACACGAACTGCATAGTTTGTAAAGTCAAATTGTATGGGAAAACTTATGAGATGAAATGTGGAAATATGAATTCAAGCATAAAACTGAAGTATTAAAATTTACGGAGACTTGATCTACTCTAAGTTCTAAGTTTTTCTGTGGTTTCCTTGGATCACTTAAGCAAATGCTGGGGCAGTAATATTCCACAGATAATCTTTAATTCTCTTCTGTCTTCATTTCGTCCATTTCATCTTTCTCACTCTATACCACCACTCACCCATTCCCACGATTCCTGAAAGGAGGCTGAAGAGGGTCTTCCGCCCTACCTCCCGGCGTAGTCCGGAGGGACTGCCCGCCTACCAGCATTAGTGTCTGGTGGGAATGAAACACCCAAAAGTTTTTTTTTCTATGATGGTAACGCCACTTTTATTTTTCCAATTTTAGGGGCATTTTATGAACTCTGAGATTGTTTTCTTATATATAGCCTTTGTGGCTAATTCAAGTTAAGTAACTTGATGCTTTTGTAAATTGAATGCCTTCACTTGAAAATCGATTGTTTGACTTGACCAGGTTTTCCAAATTCTTGAAGCATCACTACTGAATATGAACTTGACTTATTTTCAAAGTCATGATAAACTTGAAAATGAAGCCGTGAATCCCTGGAGTAGTCTGAAAAGCAATTTGATGCTCACCGAATCAATGAAATTTTACTTATTACTTTAAACGCATATTTAAAGTATTTTTTAAATTATAATGCCGTTCCTTCTGCACTCCCTTCACGATGGCTAAATGTTGTTAGAGGAGTCCGGACGACATCTTTACCTGACAGTATTAGAACTGTAAACATAATCTAATGCTGCCCGGTAAGATGTGAACAGTCCTCCACACTGGAACTCTTGGGCTGAAGAGGTCATCCAAATCTTGCTTCAATAACGTAAAATTATAATGTCTTCCTTAATATTGTTAAATTAGTAGTGAATGTAAAATAAAAATTAAGCTTACATAAGTTAATTTACTTAAGTAACTACATGTGTAAAGATGGAATTTTAAGTTTTGCAAAATTATACATTCGATGCTGGATATGGGTCTGGAACGACCTCTAATGAAGGTTGCCACACGACGGCCTTTAGCCCTGAATCAGAACAGTATCAGTTCACCTACCGGCCGCAAAAGGCTTTACCAATTTG